GGCCTTTGGCTGCTGGTGTTTAATTCCCAGGCAGGCTAGCTGGGAGCAAACCAAGAGCCCAGGGAAGTCCTCCAGTTTATCCTTCACCACATCCTAGGGCAGTGGATTTTGGCCACCAGCAGGTGCCTGGGGAGGAGCACCTGTCCCTCATTCTCCCACTCTTCAGTGGAAAGTCCCATCAGGTGTGAGAAGGACCGGCCATGCCTTGCCAGAGCTGCACCCTCCCAGAGACCCCGATGGCTCATCATATACTTGTTTCTTTGCATAACACAAAACATGTTCCTCTTGGCTGCCCATGGGCTGACAGAGGATGGGGTGAGACACCAGCCTTGCTCTGGGATGTTACCAGGCTGAATGCCAGAGGGGATGCACTGTGTAGATGCTGGGGGTCCTTGAGCAATATCACTGCTCTCTTGTCCCTCGACACCACTTTCCAAACACATTCTTGGGCAGAGCACCCCTAAAAGGCTGGTTCCCCTCCCCGAGACCCCTGGGCTCTAACAACAGGGAGCACAGCACCTTCAGGAGGGGAGAGCACAGGAGCTGGCGGAGGCCTCCTGACTTGCGGGTGTCTCCGTTGGCTCTGCTTGTGCCGGCCTGCAGGCCCCGGCGTGCCCGAGGCGGCTCAGCCCAGCGCGAGGGAGATGGTGCCCCAGCAGCCTGGCTGAGGCTTCAAAGGCTGCAGGGTGACTCCTCGGCCACCACGAGCTTTGGAAGCCCAACCGCAGGTTCTGCCATCGGCAGCTGGCATCTGTGGGCATCGATCCGCTAGCGCAAGAAAGGTGGATGATGGCATCAGCTAACATCCCCCGTCTTCCACGGCACTTTGAGATCCCAGCACGGAGTGGGATTGCAGCCAGCAACACCCAGAGCAAACCGTGCTTTATCTCCCAGTGCATTTTCGACACCAGAGCGAGCTCTCCAGGAACAAGATGATCATTCACCATGGCTTGGACAAGATGAATAAGGCCCCAGAGATGCAGACGTACATTCTGTTTCGCTTTGACAGCTTAAATGTCATAATGCCTTTGCAAACCCGACCATGGCATACATTTTCTTACGGCCTTTATTCATATCACCCCAAAAGCACTGGCAATAAAATTAAATATTTCATAAGGTTGTTATTTGGCTGCTGCACTGCAGGAGCCAAGCGCGGCCCCCTCCCACAAACCTCTTGCTGCAAGATGTAGCAGGGCTGGTGAGGGTGGATGCCTGAGCAGAGAGGCGAGGGCTGCCCCGTTCCCTGTGCACCCCTCGATGGAGCCCTTGTCCTTCTCCCCAAAGCCCTGCCTGGCTCTCCGGCCCCCCAGCAGGGAGCTTCCTTCCCCACCTGGATTGCTGGGGGGTGTGTGTGTAAGAAATGATAGGAGCAGCCAGCATTTCTCTGAGGTGTCGATGGGAGCCGGGCTTCTGGGGAAGAACCAGTCCATCTTTGGCTCGGGCAGGGAGCTGTGCTCACATACTTTTGTTTCCATGCCCCTACTGCCCTGCTCCGCCGGTATTTTCGTGGCTGACCTCCGAAAGCAGAGGTTGCTGCCTCAAGCCCCTCGCACGCTCCTGGAAGAGCCGACATACACACTGATCTCCCTGGGAAGGAGTACTGGGACCTTTGTTACAAAACCAGTTTTTCAGAGATTTCTCGCTTGGGTGTGAACGCAACAAGTGGTCCCTGGGGTGGAGACGTGGCCCAGACTGACCGCGAACATTCCCCATAGCTGGGGGGCGAGCAGGCAGCTGTCATGTTGAGGCCCTCGCGCGATCATGGCATTCTGTTAGCAGACATGAAGGACACTTGGCAGAACAAAACGTGAGCACAGCTGGATGTGCACGTGGTCCTTCAACTGGGGGCCTAAAGAGCAGGGAGTGGAGAGCTGTGTTTTAGCATCCTGTATTCAGATGACCCCCAGCAATTGCTCTGGCCATGCTGAACCAGTAATGGAACCAGGCAGCTGCTGGAACAGCATGTGTGCAGCACCCAGTGTGAGAGTCCTCAGCCCTGCCTGGGGCGTCAGGACAGCAGGTTAAAGCGAATAATTGTTCATCATTACCATTAGTGGCCTACTGGCTGCTTCCTGCCCATGGGAGGCCCATGGCTTTAGTTCGCCCTCATCACCAGGTGGGCAAAAACACTCTTAGCAACGCTGGATGGAGAGGATGGGGCAGTGAGGGACTCAACCAGGTCTCAGCCATCTTGCAGGGACCGTTCGGGTGCTTGCAGGGCTCGGACCGTGTTGCTGGGCAGGACCCGAGGGCTGGGAAGGTGCTGCTTGTGCTCCCAGTGGAGAGGGTGCCAGGGCAGAGGAGCTGCTGGGGGCTGCACAAAGGAACGGTCGGAGCTCGCCTTTGGCACGGGCACACGCAGGCCCCAGCAGCGGTCACAGCCGCTCGCTCTTGTCAGCTGCGAGGTCCTTTGTCCCCTTCCTGGGCACCGCTGGGCTGGGGGGGTGAGAAGCCCCGAGCCGACCCCCTGGCAGCCCCACCAGGCTGGGGCTGCCCCAGCCCCCTGCCCCAGCCCACCGCATTGCCACGAGCCCAGTTTGCCTGGCATGCTTGGTGGCAGCAGGGCAGCTTTGCCTTTTGTTTTTCCTTCCCTTTGTCTGTCAGTGTTGCAGGTTTCCTCTGCTCTGTCTCATTTTTGGGTGGAACCACGGCTTCCCTCTGAGCTGCCGCCGGGGAGCATCCTCCCGTTCGCCCCGCGGTCCCACACGCAGGCCGGCTCGCGGCCCTTCGCGCCCAGATTTTGCACAGTTTCACCTCTTTCAGACGAATAAAGACTTGACATTATACGGACTAGACGAGCAAGGGATGTTAAGAATGAACTGGAACATAACTGCAAAATACAGCATGTCCAATCCAATTTTTGCTAGCGAATGAAACGGATCTGGTGGAAAATAAATACAGAACTTTCAGGAGCAGCGTCCTTGAACAGCATTTGAGGGGGATGCAGAGATTTGAATAGATCAGCCCCTTATACCTCTGCACATCCCTCCTCCCTCCCTTAAATACCATCTTTAATAGAAATACATTAGAATAAATGATCAGCCCTTGCCTCCTAAAGACAGGTGGCAGGGTAATATTAAAAGAAATGAATAAAAATTCATTTAATGAGCATTGTTAATTAAACCTGGAAATCAAAGAGGTCTGAGTTGTGGGAATTCGGAGGAAAAATGAAAATGAAGGGAGCTGTAGCTCGGGGCAGGAAGAGTGGAATTAAATTAAATGCAATGTGGGATTGTGTTTGTTAATGTCGATCACACATCACGGTGTATTACAGTTGGGGGTAAAGGGTTTGTTCTCCGCTCGCACACAAATTACACGCTGCCACCAATGGAAACTCCTGCGCAGCCACGGGCAGCTCCCGGCGGGTGGCACGGTGAGACCGCGGGGACCCCGCGGGGACACGGCCGCCCCCGAGCCCGGTCACGGCGCCCGTGGGCCGCC